ATTGCCGATTCATTCCCAGCTTCGCCACAATTGCCGCACCCTTGACTGACCTACTCATTAAGGACAGCCCGCAATGGGTACGCTGGTCCCACAAATGCAAAGAGGCTTTTTGGACACTGAAGGACCACCTATGCCAAGAACTGGTACTGTAAAGCCCTAACTTCACCCATGGCTTCGTTGTCCAAATGGGGAGGAACACCCAGTCCTCTATATAATCCGGAAGCTATTCCCCCGGGAGCACAACTATTTGGTCATTGAGAAAGAAGCCCTAGCAGATAAGTGGATGGTAGAAGCCCTCCATTATTACCTCCTGGGCGGGCCCTTCATTGTAGTGACAGACCATGCACCCCTAAAATGCTGACAAACCATGAAGGACACCAATGCGGGGCTGATGCGGTGGTGCCTTATCCTCCAACCTTTTGCATTTACGGTGCAGCATTGTGCTGGGAAGGAACATGCAAGTGCGGACTCCTTGTCATGGCTGGAGGACGGGGACCAGGCCAGCCCTGAGGGCGGAGCCAGGCAAGCCATGCCCATCCTGCCAGAAACAGTGGGGCAGGACAGAAAGTATAAAAGGCGGTTCCTCCTTCAAAAGGTTGCAGTGATTTTTTTCCCCCTTCCCCCTTATCTGAAGTTATCAGAGCATAAGGAATGGAACAATACTACTCCATTAAAGCGGGAATCTCTGGTCACCTCCAATAGAAGCTGAACAGGAGGCTTTGATGCCTGCTGTCCCACCTGTTCATGCTCTCTGTATGTGTGTATATATATATCTCCTCAATATATGTTTCACTCTATATGTATCCGAAGAAGTGGGTTGTAGCCCACGAAAGCTTATGCTCTAATAAATTTGTTAGTCTCTAAGGTGCCACAAGTACTCCTGTTCTTTTTTTAGTATGGCAGTGAATTTCCCTTGGATACCGATCCCCTATTTGAAGTTCACAAATTTGGAACATGTGGTTCAGCAATATTCTCAATTTCTTTTGTAACAAAAACAAAAACATTAAAAAAATTGTTGGGAGTTGATAACAGGCTTAAACAGCACGATGATATGTCTTGCTGTTTTTTTCCTGATGGCTTCTCTTCACACTCTTCAAGAAAAACACCAAGAAAACAAAACAGGAAAAGATTAGTATTAGTATTTATTTATTAATGATGCTATAACACCTTCATGACTAATCAGGGATCGGGGTGCCATTGTGCTACTCTCTATGTACACACAAAATGAAAAGTTACTCTTTGCCTCAAAGAGTTTACAATATAAGGCCCCAGTTCAGGAAAATCCTTGAGCAAGTGTTTAATTTTAAGCACGTGTTTAAATTCCATTGAAATCAATTTCAGTGGGACTTAAACACATGTTTAAAGTTAAGCACCGTTCCTGAAGAGGGATGCTTTCCTACTTCAAGACCTAAATAGAGTCCTCTCCATTTCATGAGTATGAAGACTGTATTAGAATGGATACAATGGTTTGTTTGGAAAATCATACATTCAAATTCATGGAGGCAGGGCCGGCTCTGGCTTTTTTGCGCGCCCCCCCCCCCCCCCCCCCGGGGCCGGGGGGGGGGGGGGGCGGCCGGAGCCCCGGCGGGAGGGCGGCGAGCCCCGGCCGGGGCTCCGCTCTCCCCCTGGAGGCCAGGGGGAGGGCGCCGGGCGGGAGGGCGGCCGGAGCCCTGGGAGGAGGGTGGAGAGCCCGGCCGGGGCTCCGCTCTCCCCGGCGGCCAGAACGCTGGGGGGAGGGCGGCGAGCCCGGCCGTGGCCCCGCTCTCCCCCCGGCGGCCGGAGCCGGAGTGCCGCGCCGCCCCCCTCCAGGTGCCGCCCCAAGCACAAGCTTGGTGGGCTGGTGCCTGGAGCCGGCCCTGCATGGAGGTTGTATCAAAGTTATGGAGAGGAGAATTTGGCCTATCTACTGATCTTTCCCTCTAGCCCTGCCAGTCAGGGATGATTACACAAAGGAATGCTGTGTGTGAGTCAAATACATGAGTGGGAACCTGAAATTCAGGCTTAGCTGGGATTTGGATATGACCTGTACTTTCTGCTACTGTACAACTCTTTTCTCAAAGACTTTTAAGTCCATCAGGTTCTTTTCTTGTGAGATAAACATCAGTACATATGTACAATATCATGCATTACATCCTTGGCTGGTTTGAACTGATTTATGCCAATTTACATTAGCTGAGGCTCTGGCCCCATGAACATAAATGGTGCTTTACCAATCACACAGGATGGGGCTTGCAAAATCCATTTGCCCATGAAAGAATGCATGGCTTGGGGATGGTAGAAAGCAAAAGTGGATGGTTTGGGGGTCATGGAAGAGCTTGGGAATTCCTCCACTTGGTTATGGTGCCTCATTATATATTTTTAAATAGTGGAGATATAAATCATGGTAGTAATTAGTTTTATTGAATATATATCATTGCAGAGTGCGAAATTCATGATATTTTCAATAAAAAATGTATTACTTTGTATTTAATATAATATATAAAACCCATGACACAGCTGGCCACACAGAGCCTGGCATTTAAAATGTGAGATATGACATGCAAATAAGATATGATTGTGACAGGTTGCCCCCCTTCTGGGGTGCCACCTGATGTACTGGGGTACCACTGAGCCCACTTGTTCCACCAGTCTGGGCTCCCTCACCCTGTCCTGCTAAGCCAGACCCTCAAGACTTCTCTAGCACACACACAGGTAGGGACACACCCAGCTTCAGAAAGACACAGATAACGAAATCAGTACTGCATGGGAAGGCTTTCAGCTAAGGAATTGCCCAGTGCCCCCACTCTCCCTCTGGAGAGTAAACTCAAAATTGTATTGTGTTGCTCTGCAGCGAGAACTGTACAGCGTGAGCTAATTGAAATTCGCCCTCTCCCTCACTGTGGAGAGAGAGATGCACAGCTTTTTGCCCCCCTCCCCCCCCAGTTATGAATTACACAAACTGGGTTTAGAACAAAAACAAGTTTATTAAGTACAAGAGGTAGATTTTAAGTGATTATAAAGGATAGCCAACATATCAAAGCTGATTATCTTAGTAAATAAACAAAAACTGCAAACTGAGCTGAACACACTAGATAGGTAGGATATAAATTAGCAAATTCTCACCCTGAGTGGTAAACTGGCTGGCAGACTTCTAAGGCACAAGTTGTTTTGGTTTTCCCAGGTTTTCATATACCGGCTAAAGATCCTTCTAGCCTGGGACCATCACTTCCCACAGTTCAGTCCTTGCCCTGCAGGTGTTTCCAAGTGTGTTGTTGCAGGGAGAGTGAGGTCCCCCCATGATGTCATTGTCCCCCTTTTATATCTTCTTCCCACTTGCTGGAAAGCTCTTATGTTGTGACGTGCGTCAAACATTTCCCATTGTGTAGAGCTAGCTCTGAGAGGTTTCTATTGTACACAGTTCCTGGGGTAATCCTTGTGCTTGTGTGCATTTCCTCAATAAGCCATTAACATTGTTTGGCCTTTTTATTGTTGTACCTGAAAGGCTGCTTGTGGGTATTTTCAACCTCACAACATGTTTCAGTAACACATACATAGCCAAACTTCATAAATTCACATACGACGATAACACATACAATCCAATGAGATATTAATGTCTCGCAGAACAAGACTTTTAGAACGATGCCCCACAAGACATACTTTGTACAAAACATATCCTAATTACATGACAGTGGTGAATATTGGGGTGTCAGGGTGTCACAATGATCATGGAGGTAGGTCCATCAACAGGTATTTGCCAGGATGGGCAGGGATGCAAAACCATGCTCTGAAGTGTCCCTGCCTCTGTTTGCCAGAAGCTGGGAATGGTGACTGGGGATGGATCCCTTGATGATTACCTGTTCTGTTCATTCCCTCTGAAGCACCTGGCATTGGCCACTGTAAGAAGACAGGTTACTGGGCTAGATGGACCTTTGGTCTGACCCAATATGGCCGTTCTTATGTTCAAATTGTCCATATTTAGCTATACATGCTTACATTAGCCATATTGGCACTATTAACTTAAAAACACCCAATAACAGATTATTAATGACATCATATATTTATTTTTTCACTGAAAAAGGATTCTGGGATATTAAATCATGAGAGGAAAAAGTGATGGTGGAAGGATGGTCTAATAGTGCACAGAGCACTGGACTGGGACTCAGGAATCTTGCATTTAATTCCTGGCTCAGCCATTTCCATTGTGACCTTAGGCAAGTTACTTGATTTACGCTGAGTGTCCGTTACCCATCTGTATAATAGGGACATTTCCCTTCCTCATAGGACTGTTGTGAGGATAAAATTAATTAATAATTGAGAATGGATTGAACACTACAGTGATGATGGCCGTAAAAGTACTTAGATAGTGGAAGGGTAAAGTTGGTGGTTTTGGAATCATGGGTGGAAAAAAATGGAAACCCTAACCACTAAATTATGCTATCATTTATTCCATACACTGAGGTACTGTACTTACCCTAGACATAGCTGAAATTCATTTTGAGTGCTGTTATTTTTATCCCAGTAGTGCCTAAAGGCCCCTATCAAAGATAAAGATGCACCATATTGGATGCTGTACAGACAGTAATGAAAGACAGGTGCTGCTCCAAAGAGCTCACAATCTTAGTCCAACACAAGATGCAACAGGTGGGTGAAAGGAATTGGGAGGATGATGAGGCAGAATGTGACAACAGTGATACAAACATATTTTTGCATAGACTAGCTACACATGCAGTTTGTAGGTGTAGATTTTTTTAAAAATTCCTCTTTGCTAATGGAGACAAATAAGATGATCAATAGCCATAATTTAAGATTTGGCTCCAGTGCTGTCAGTTAAGTGAAAAACAGAAGTCAGTTTGCACCTCAATTTTTACAGTGGTTTTCTGAGCTAATTCACTGTGTTCCTGATTTTTATGGGTGGGACTTTTGTGACTGGTTGCTTTAGTGACAGCTCACCGATGCTGCTAATTGCCTTTCCAATTAATCAGTTGTAAATGATTGTCTTCACAGCTTTTTCATGTGCTTCTGGTGAATACCTAGAAATGAAGAATCAAATGTGCAGTAAATGTGCCGCGGGGACATATTCCTTGGGCAGCGGGATCAAGTTTGATGAATGGGATGACCTGCCAGCAGGATTCTCCAATGTGGCAACTTTCATGGACACTGCTGTCGAATCAGCTGAGAATAAAGCCGATAGCTGTGACAAGTAAGAGGCTTATGGGCTGGTCTGTGGCCACACTGGTGAAGGGGTTGGTTTGACTCTCATGGATTTCAGTGGGCTTTGGATCAAGCTCATAGTTTGCTGTGGGAACCAGCTGCTCTGGTAGTATAGTAACATGTAGGTGGTGTTCACTGAAAACAGTGACAGGTAGACTATGCCCCTCAGAATGGAATGCTGGTTATGTGTTAGTGAAAGCTCTTGGAGTTTGATGATGCCATCAGCTGGTTAACGGAGAGGACAATTGAACACGCTATGCTGTGTAAGTACAGAAAAATACATTGTGCAATAAAAGCAATCTCTGCACATTGCCAAGAAGCACACTTCAGGGATATTGAATAGTTGAGAATAAAGGATAAATAAAATGGGCCCTATTTGACCCTGCTGGTCCACTGGCACAAAGTTAGTTTCATCATCTACCTGAGCCTTCCTCAGTGCTGGGGAACTCCTCAGGTGGCATAGGGCCAGCGGAGTAGCATGACTCGAGTGGCTAGCGAGCCACTACTTTCAGCCAATCCCTTGCTGTCATAATGGCCTCCTGGATATCATTAGCAGCCAGTGAAACTTGGAACAGCCCTGAACTGCTTTAACTTGTGCCTGAGTAGCTCTGGGATCAAGGCGGAGTAAAGGTGGCTTAAAACTGCTTTTATACCCGGCATGATCTGTGCTGATTGCAGAAGGGCTGTTCTTAAGGATATGGCCCTCTGTATCCTAGACAAGCCTTCCTGATTGGGATGCATTAGAAGTTTCCAGGAAACAACATACGTTTGCCCCCATTCACAATTTTGATGTGCAAAAAGGTAAGTTTTGACAGAGCTCATAATCCTTTGTGTGAAAAATATGTGGGAAACCGATGTGAAAGGGTTGGGGAGTGAATCTAGCTACAGTGGGGTACTGTGTCCTTTACTGAGCAATATATTTTAAAATAGGAATGTTATAAATGTCTTCAGGGTTCCTGTGATCTAAAATAAGCCTTGTTTTGTTTATGTTTATCCAGCTCTTCGTGGACTCCTCGTGGGAATTACATAGAGTCCAACAGAGATGACTGCACTGTTTCTCTAATCTATGCTGTACATCTGAAGAAATCTGGATTTGTCTTCTTTGAATACCAGTATATTGACAATAACATCTTCTTTGAGTTTTTTGTAAGGCTTTTATACACTGAATCTAACCTCAAAGTAAAGAGATGTGTTCCAGATAAAGACCTATTTTTGAATCAGTTTAGTTTTCTCCTCATCCAAGTTATTGTCTCTTTAGCTTATTAAATCTGAACAAATTTTAAAAATCTCATTTCCCCTCTACCATTTATGCTTCCTGTCCACTTTTTGCATTTCATTCAGCTTTGACAACAAGCCTAAACTGGTTGCTTTCACTGTACGGTAGGTTTTTCATAAGTGCCTAAGGGAGGTAGGAGCACAAAACCCATTGAAAGTCACCTTAATTTCTAGTCACTTTCATAGCTATGTTGTCTACAGTTTGCACAGTGCTATCAGTGACATGCCATCTGTGTATGCAAGGCATGCGTTGCATGTCCCAGGACCAGCTATGCCCATGGGATGATTCCGTCTGACCTCTGAATGCACATGGAGGACATAATATTTTATAACAAAATGGCCCCACATGTGCCAGGTCACACTGTATGTGTGGTGCGTGCAAGGTCACGCTGTGTGGTGGACACCATTTTGTTCTACAGAATGGTGTCCTCCATGTGGCGTGACCTTGCATGTATGGTGCGTGAGGTCACACTGTTCTACAAATTGACAGCCTCCAGACAGTGTGACCTCACACGCATCCTACGTGTGAGATCATACCGCATGGAGAATGCCATTTTGTGAAGCCCTCCACACAATGTGACCATGCATGCACTGTACATGTGAGGTCACGCCTCATGGAGGACATCATTTTGTGTGCAAGTGTAGAATTGCATGCCTGATTAAGAATGCCATGTCATGCCACTGAATGCCAGGACATTTGGGTTCCTAGAACCACATGGGAATGTTTAAATTCTCACAGAATCCATTTTTTCATGTTTCTTTTGAATGTCATGAAAACATTCCTGGGCCTTGGTAATATGTCTGATCCTACAGTTCTTCCATATGTGAGTACTGTTCACTCATGTAGGTAGTTCTGTAGATTCCAGTGGGAGCTCTGGCATGAGGAAGGCTCTTAAGTTTGGGTCTAGAGTAGAGCTGGTGAGAAATGGTTTTCCCATCCCGTGAATGCTTTCTAGAGATCGAAATTTTGTCCCGTCTCAAATCAGGACGAAAAGTCAGAATCTTGAAAATATTCACAAACCGAAAAACTGAAACTTTTTTTTTTTGGTTCAGAACAATTCAAATGTCTTGTTTTAATTTAGCTCCTTTTTCTTTAACCTTTTCTTTAGTCTGATCAGCTGAAATTTCAAAACGAAAAGTTGTGTAGAACCAGAAAAATGGGTCAGTTTTGAACATGTTGAAACAAAACAGTTTTGAAACTTTTTCCTCAATGTTGTTTTCAAGCCAGGAAATCCATCAAAACTGACCCTCCTGTGCCAATAGTTTCCGTTTCAACGAATGGCCTTTTATGACCCCCCCCAAAAAATTGTTGAAAAATTCCTGATGAATTCTTGTCCAAAGTCCCTTTAACTTGGAAAAATATAATCTAGTTTGGCCAGCATTGTTTACACAGACAGTTGTGTGGGACTCTAAACATGTGAATGTCCTTATGACATTCTGGAAATGAGAATCCCAGTGTCATACAGGTGGCAGCTTAATCCCAAAGTTTCAGAAATGGTTAGTGATTTTGGATGCCTGTTTTTGGGTGTCTGATCTGAGACACCTTCAAGGGACCTGATTTTCAGAAAGAGCTGTGAACCTGCTTTCTGCTGAAAAGTATCTTAAGTTGGGCATTCAAAACTCAAAATCACTAGTCACTTTTGGAAATCTTGGTCTCCATCTTTGGGAAAGGATCGGTCTGTGTCGCTACCATGCAGAGAGAAGGATGAAAAGTGAGCTATTTCTGAGGTTTAAGATTGGGATTTTTGAAAGAGCTCCACGCAGCTTTCACTGCCCACTTGGTACTTCTTCAGACAAGCACCTTGCGTGCTTTCTCCCATGCTTCCTCTCATGCTTGAGAGTTGCTTCCTGTAACCATCCACAGAGCTACCTCCTTATCCACCTTCAAATCCCTCCTTAAAACTCGCCTTGTGACGCCCACAAAAAACTTGACAAACTTGACAACTTACAGAGACCACTGCCTATCATGGTGACAAACATTGCCATTCTAAGCCCCTTGGGGCAGAGACCATCTTTTCGTTCTGTGTTTGTACAGCACCTAGCACAGTGGTGTCCTGGTCCATGACTATGGCTCCTAGGTGCTATGGTAATCCAAATAATAATGATAAAAAGACTTAGGAGCGCAGATCCCATTGATTTTCAGTGGGACCTATAAGTCACTTATGTGCTTTGAAATATTCTACCCTGAGCTATCTCGCTTTGCCTGTCAGTGTTGCATTTGCTGCTGAATGTTGAGAAGGGGGCAAATGAGGACTTAAAACAGAGAGAGATGGCAGCTCAGAATAAGTGTGCTAGAAATTGTCTGTCTCCGACTTTCTCTTGCTGTCTCTGGCGGGTGAGTCATTGCCATCTGCAAAGCACTGTCATGCTATTTCACAGCAGGGCTAGGCCTTAATTAATGTTTTTACGGTATTTTGAGATGATGGGATGAGAGCCTCTCTATCTAAGTGCAAAGCACCATTATCCTTAGTAAGGGATACGAGAGGAAGACAAAAAAAACCTTGATTTTGATGCCTGAGGCCCTTTATTGCTGCGGCTGTTACTTGAATAAAATCTACCGCACTTTGATAATAGAAAGTGCATACTGTATTATTAAACCTCTTTCGCTTTTTATCGTATGTCCTGCCTGATTCATAAGAAGTAAGCAGCAAAATGTGCTTTTACCACCAGATGCATGTAGCAGAATATGATCCTCCCTGTGGCTTCTTGACTGACTAGTGATTGATTTTCTCCTGCAGAGGAGCAAAAACATTGTTTATTTGAGCACTAGGTCTGAAAGCTGCTTCCCACATATTATTTGCTCTGATCAACATAGCACTGATGGTTGGTCACCTCCTTAAATTTGTCATTCCCTTTATATGTATCAATTAGCAGGCTGTCATTTTAAAAGCCATTAACCAAATAATTGTAACTTGGCAGCTAGATTTTCATCCTGATGCTCTGCACTTCAGGGCTCCATATGTAATAGGCCTTTAAGAATGCACTTTTCCCCAGAATGCATTGTTGATTAAATATTTTCAATTATTACATCAGCATCCCCCTATAGTTTAGGTATAGAATCTATCTGTCTTAGATATTTATATGGCCCCCGTGGCATCTAAATGCCTCATAATTTTTTCACATATTTAAACTTCCCACACCTCTGTGAGATAGGGCAGCCCCATTAACCCCATTTTAAAGATGGGAAACTGAGGCACTGAGAGACAATGGCCCAGCTCCACAAGGGTACTTAGGCGCCTATCCCCCAGTTTTAATGCCCAGTTTTAGGCAAACTGCCACCCTAGCCTGTTGGTGCCTAAACTCATTCAGCAGCTATTGTTTTACAGTAAAAGTTCCCTTGGTGTCCAAGTCTGTGCCTCTGTGCATGTGCACTGCTGCCCCACTCTAGGCATCTGGATGCTTGTCTCCTGCCTAAGCCTCAATTTGATCCATAAACCTGGGAAAAATGGGTGTTCCTCCCCTTAACTCACCCATGGAGCCTAATCTGACAGGTATGTTCAGAGGCCACCTATCTCTATCCAAAATAGCAGCACCTGGAGGTGCTCTAGAGAGTATTCCCTGGGGAAGTGGGAGACCCCAGGTTCAAATCCTGTTCTGCCTGAAAAGGGATTGGAATAGGGATTTGCTGCTTCTCAGATAAGTGCTTTAACAGCTGGGCTATAGGGGGATTCTATAGGGGCCACCTAGGTCTACACAAAGCAGCAGCATGAGGAGGAGATCCTCTTCCATACTTTTAGCTCAGTGGCTAAGGCACTCAGCTGAGAGGTGGCCCATCCCTGTTCCAATCCCTTCTCCTCAGGCAGAGAGGGGAATTTAGCACTATATTTGGAAGCCCTCTCTTAGACTGCTAGTGATTTTGCATGTGTTTTCCGGATGTCCTTTGCAACAAGTAACACAGCCCCTGTCCTGAATGCTGTGAGATGGGGACAGACAGCAGAATCACACAGCCTTTAGTCTATAGGCATCCTTCTGCGGTGTGTCCTGACCGAGACAGTTAACCAGATGTCTGATTGTGGCCACTGTTTTTAATTGACAGATTCAAAATGATCAGTGCAAAGAGATGGACTCCACGGCCGACAAATGGGTGAAATTAACAGACAACGGCGAATGGGGCTCTCATTCCGTAAGTGCTAAGTATCACTCCACAGTGCTTTCCTTTTGTTTATAAATTAACATTGATTCTTGTGAGCGAGAGAGAGCCACATCCTGTGAATTCAGTGGCTGTGAAAGGAGCGCAGCTTCTCTCAGGAGCAAAAGATGTGTGCTCTAAGCTGATGTGTGCTTTAAGGGCCTGATCCAAAGCCTGTTCAAGTCTATGCAGGCTTTCCCACTGACTTCACTGAATCAGGCTCCTTAAGAAATCAAGTAGATATATGGGAATCCAAATTCCACAGGGCGCTCCCATTCATTGTGATCCATATCTTCCAAAACGCTTGCTCATTCACTTGCACCAAAGATTGTTCCCTGCCATGTGAATGACACTGCAGTCCACGGGCGTTGTGTGCACATTTGAGGATAGGATTTGGCCTTTTAATTTCAAGTGCATTTCTAGGGGCTGGACTGCACTGATTTTTCTCAGCAGTTTGAAAACCAGCTGTGACCGGGTTCCCAGGGGTGCCAGGCTGAGATTGCTCAATTAGGGCAAACTGCAAAGAATGGGGCAGACAATCCCCAAATACTTAGATTTACCAAGCCAGCAACAAAACAGCTTCTACAATACCTTACTGGTTACCCAGAAGCCAAAAACACAGTCCCCTTAAAGCAACCCAGCCCGGGCCTTCCTCCCAGACAGCCATGTCAAATAGGATGAGGATTATTGAAAATCTTGTTCATCATATGAAGAAGTTCTACCAATCCCAAAGGATCGGACACATTACCCACCAAGTTAATTAATATTTCAGATCTTACCCAAATACACGTTTACAGCCAATTCTTATTAACTAAACTTAAATTTATTAAAAAAAGAAAAGAGAGAGTATTGGTTAAAAACTCATTATACATACAGACATGAATATAGTTCTTAGGTCAGTTTCGTAGCAGAGATGGTGAGCTTTAGAGTTGCAAAGAGTTCTTTCAGAATTAGTTCATAGGTTCAGTCCAATGTTCAATATCAGGGTATCCCAGAATGAAACTGGAGATCTCAATCTTGTGGCTCAAACTTCCCCTGACAAAGCATGAGCGGATATGAGATGAAAGGATCAGGGTCCCAAAAGCCCTTTATACATTTTCCCGGCAGCCTCTTGACTACATGCAGTTCTTGGGTGACCAATAGTGTCTTTTAATAAACCTCCTATTTCCTAAACATCACCGGAATTAGCTACATGGATTAACATAAGGCAATTGCTTATCGCCCACCATCTGCAGGTGATTTGCTATATACTTCAAAGAGAAATCAAGAGAGTGATATCACTACATTCACAGTTCATTTAAATGTTAATATCTCCTTTTGATCTCTGAATTAACAGAATACAGCCACAGACAGGAATTGTCTGGTTACATTGTTAACCTCTAATAATATATATGTAAACACACAAAACCACAAACATTATCTACTAATATGTCTCTAAAGGTTGAATCTGGGTCAATTAGCCTGCTAGTTGTGTAACCCTTTCTGGCCATGTGTCACACAGTTTAGTTGAATTGGTGCAACCGCTCCATATGCAGCTCCTCTTAAATCAGATTGGAGGTCCCCAATAGGGGGCCCCCACTCATTTAACTAAATTGGTTTCTACATGAGTTGTGTTCAGTCAGTGCCCAGAGCACGTAAACTAGCCCTGAGTTTATTTGTGGTGAACAAATTTCATCCCTCATTAGCCCCCAGACTGAGGCTTGGGCTACCCAAAAAGTTTTGCTGGCATAGCTATATGGGTTAGGAGGGTGAAAAAAATCACATCCCTGATTGACATAGCTATGGTGGCAAAAGCCCCAGAGTAGACACCAAAGAGTCCTTTTGTTCAGGGGACTGGTATAAGCTGTTCTTTTTGCCAGTATAAGCTGCGTCTCCACTAAGAGGGTTTGCTGGTATAGCTCCACCAGCGGCAAACCCTTTCTTAATGTAGACAAGGCCTCCCACTGGTGGGTTTTACTCTGGAGTGCTTTCTGCTTAGACTCTAACAAGAATGCAGTTTTTAGTTTACCTGTCTGTGAGCCTGGCTGGGCTGTTTGCAGAGCCGGTGCAAGGCATAAGCAAACTAAGCAATTGCTTAGGGCCCCAAGCAGCTCAAGAGGGGTAGGGGTGGTGGTGGTGGTGGTGGTGGGTGGGGGGGGCTATTCACTTTTTATTATAAGTATTTGCCTGTTTTAGTATTGTTGTGGGAGGCGGGATGGGGGGAGACAAAATATTCCTGCTTAGGGCCTCCAATGGGCTAGCACTGGCACTGGCTCTTCGCTCAGTAGCTCCTTTATAATTCCTCACCTTGAGCAAACACAAAGCATGAGGTTTCGAAAAGTGCTCAGTGTTAACCTAACTCTAGCCCTGCTTGGGCCTGTTCTGCACTTGAAAATGGTACCCGTCTAACTATGTCGGTTAGGAGGGTGAATTTTGTATCGAGATAGTTATACTAGTACAGCCCTTGTGTGGCTGCAATTATACTGGTATACAAGTGCAGTATCCTGGTGTAGCTTATTCTCTTTCCCATAAGGAATAACTATGCCAATACAAAGCACCTTTATTACTTCATCCACACTGGAGGGTGGGAGGGTTAAAGGGTGGTACTGCTTTTACTGTACTGATATAGTTAAAATGGCACAACTTTCTAGTGCCATCAAGTCCTTGGTAAATGGGAGCAGAGATAGGCCAACGCTGAGCACTTTTGAAAATCCCAACCCATGTAGCATATGTAAAAGTATGGCTTGTTAAAATACTGGACCCTGTTTTTTAAAAGGTGAATTGTGTGGCTTTAAAAAAAAACAAAACTGATTGATTAAGATCCTAGATCCGGAACAGAGTAGAGTTTAAAATGACTGAGCATGAGCACCAGGGGAATGCTATCCACTCCTGGTGTGCTGGGCACCTGCAGCTGTGGGTTGGCTGGATGGGACATGACTCTTCCCCTCTCCCCCCCGCCCCACCCCCACTGCTTTCTGTTGGCTCAGGGGGACTTGCAGTGCACCTCTTCAAGGGAGGTGTGAGAGCCTCCCTTTCTCCATAATACCTGCATCTGCCCTCCATAAAGAGGGCACTTCTGCATCCTCCTTATCTATCTGTACCTCCTACAGCCCATGACTTACAAAACAGTTGACCCGCAGAATCCCCAAATGCTCCAAGGATGTGAGGAAAATGAGTCACTGAAATGAGTGACGTGTACTAGGAGATAAAAGAACAACGTCAAGCAGGTGGTCGATCAAAAGATGCTGATGCGAAGTATCATTCTTTTGTTGTTGCAGGTAGCTTTGAAACCAGGGACTAATATATTATACTGGAGAACAACAGGGATTCTTATGGGTTCTAAAGTGGTGAAACCTGTTCTGGTGAAAAACATCACAATTGAAGGTATGGAATATCATACCATCAGCTAATAACTAAACTGTCTACTGTACATTGCAATAATAATTGATGTTTTATTCCAGCCACTGTCTTTAAGGACAGATATGTTGTTTTTGGAGAAAAAAATTGACATCATAATCGCAGTAAACTCTTTCTTTCTTTCTTTCTTAGCCTTATTTAAAGTAATTATTCCATGCATTCTTTTTTACTTTTCCAAATCTCTAGGAAAATATTTAGTCCACTGGTGTCCTGAGAAATATAATACATGGAATTAATTCGTAAATGGTGACGCCTGCTGGGGAAGATTGGAATTGTAGAAGAAAAAAAAACCCCTCAGGCTGTCTGCAACAGCACAGCATAGCAGACCTTTATTACAACTGGGCTTGTCTACACTTGGAAATGTACCAAAATAGCTATTTCAGAATCAGAGTGGAGACTAATACTGAATAACTGTTACAGAATTATTATTCTAAAATAGTCCATTACATTATAAAACACTCAGGACTTGGAAATTTACTCTAATATTCCAGAATAGCTATGTTGGTATATTTCCAAGTATAGATAAGCCCTTAGTTTCATATAATGTAATGCTCATCCAGGTCAAACTCTCGTTGAAGGGAATGGGAGTTTGGCCTGGGTAAGGACTGCAGAACTAGAGTCTCCGTTAGCAAAGCCCGACGGACTCAAACTAGCAATGACTGTTTGTGACTGTTCAGTGGTCTTATACAGTGTCTGTTTCCCCCAAAACAACTGTGTAGGCGGGAGCTGCAGGTACTGCTGCTCTCTATTTTTGTGCCTATTTATGTGCTTAACCTGTGCTTTGCTTTACAGGAGTTGCATATACATCTGAATGCTTTCCATGCAAACCTGGTACATTCAGTGATAAACCAGGGTCTTCCAATTGCCAGGTGTGTCCCAGAAATACCTACTCAGAGAAAGGAGCTAAGGAATGTACCAACTGTAGCGAAGAAACTCATTATGCAGGTACAGGGCATAAGCCAAAAAGAATACATGAACGTGTGTCTGCTTCAGTATTATTATCAGCTCTGCGTGCTTTTATGGAGCTCTGCACATACATACACAGGAATCACTTCGCCCACCACTGAAAAGTAGTCAGAAGAGATTGGGACACAAAAAGAAGGTTAATATGGTGCCGATCTGAAACTGCAGAGGGAATTTATGTTTGCAATTTATAATGGCTCACACTGGAATTTGGCCAGGGTACTTTATAACTCCCATGCTCTAACAGAAAGCACCATGAGATCTTCAATGGCCCTGGTTTTAGATTTCCTCCAAATTATGGTAACCCCCAAGCTAATCTGAGGCATTGGTTCAGTACTGATTCACTGGCAGCTCCCAACTGCTTCCTTCGGCACCCGAGTGTTTCCTGGAGATCTCTTATTCAAACAGTCACCTGGTCGACCCCTCCTTGCATTGGGAGATCTGACTGGATCAGAGCACATGGTGGTTTGGCTGCAGACTGGACATGTGATAGCCTTCGAAGCTCCTCTGTTTCCTTACCATGATAGCAACTAGAAACCACTAAGTAAAATAGACCACATTCATCCGTGACATAGCTCCATTGCACTTAAGCACACGCTTAACTTTAGGCATGCGAGTAGTCCCTTTGAAGCCTATGTGCCTACTCATGTGGTTAGAATTAAGCATGTGCTTAAGCACTTTCCTCACTCAGGGCCTCGGAGCAGTGTAACCACTGATCAGTCTCCTCCATAACTACTTCAGAGATGGGGAGAGGAGGCAGGGGGACTATACAGCTGGGAGAGGGCCCATTTTCTGGGGAGTTTGGGGACACAGTGTATGGACAGGCATTACTTGGGATAGAGATAATCCATAATTGGATCGTGACAAACCCCTTCCCCGATTCCCCACCAGGATCCCAGCCACATGGGGTTTCTGTGCTTATTATTATGAATTGTATTGCCATACCACGTATGTGCCCCAGTCACGGACCAGGACCCCACTGTGCTAGGTGCTGTACAAACACAGAACAAAAGGACAGTCCGTGCCCCAAGGCACTCGCATTCGAAGTATAAGACAAGAGACGACAGGCGGATGCAGACAGACAGACTGGGGATCACAAGGAAACAATGAGACAATACTGATCAGCATAGTAGATAATGATCTCAGCCAGTGAGCAGCCTAACTGCTGTCAAGCTTTTTGTAGGCACCATGGCAAAGGAGAGTTTTATAGAGACCAATAAGGTAGCTTTGCACATGATTACAGGGAGCTCTTTCCAGGCGTGAAGGGCAGCACTGGAGGAGTGGGCAGTATTTTAGATAACATGAAGGTGTTATTTGAAAATCTAGCAAGTGGGCAGTGGAGGCTGGCCCCCTTGGCAGAGTGGAGGCAGAAGTCGGCATAGAATTGAAGGGCTGGAAGGGGTCTTGGGAAGTCACCCAGTCCAACCTCTGAGCTGAGACAGGACCAAATATACCCTAGACCATCCCTGATAGGTGTTTATCCAACCTGTTCTTAAAAACCTTCAGTGATGGGGATTCCACAACCTCCCTTGGAAGCCTGTTCCAGGGCTTAACTACCCTTAGAGTTAGACAGTTTTACCTAATATCTAACCCAAATCTCCCTTGCTGCAGGTTAAGCCAATTTCTTCTCCTCTTACCTTCAGTGGATTCGGAGAACAATCAATCATCATCCTCTTTATAATAGCCCAGGGATCGGCAACCTTTGGCAGGCGGCCCACCAGGGTAAGCCCCCATGGCAGGCCAGGCCGGTTTGTTTACCTGCTGCGTCCACAGGTTCGGCCAATGGCGGCTCCCACTGGCTGTGGTTCACCACTCCAGGCCAATGGGGGCTGCGGGAAGCAGCACAGGCCAAAGGATGTTCTGGCCGCCGTTTCCCGCAGGCCCCATTGGCCTGGAGCTGCGAACCGTGGCCAGTGGGAGCCACCATCGGCCGAACCTGCGGACGCGACAGGTAAACAAACTGGCCCAGCCCGCCAGGGGGCTTACTCTGGTGGGCCATATGCCAAAGGTTGCCGATCCCTGTAATAGCCCTTAACATATTTGAAGACTGGTATCAGAATCCTCTGGATTCGCCAATTTGTCCACATCTTTCCTTAAGTGTGGCACCCAGAATTGGACAGAGTACTCCAGCTGAGGCCTCATCATTGTGAGCATATGAGAAATGATAGGTAGCATGGGGATAGGCCATGAAAGTGAAGTCAAATAGTCTGTTTGTTGCATATACTGTGTATAAGTAGCATATTTGATGCATGCACATACACAGTACTGTGATGTTCTCTCAAATACTGCCCATTTGCTTCGATGCTCTTGCAGACTAATTAGCGTCTACAGTTCTTTTTCTTATAGATTAACGTTTTGTATAGAGAACTGATTATCTGCCAGAAATGTCTCCTATCACTTTAACTGCTAACATTAGTATGGACACCGATTAGGGACTTGTGCCTGCTCACATTGAAGTTAATGGGAATTTTGCAATTGACTTCAGTGGGAGTAAGTCCGGGCCCCAGCAAAGTAAAACGTTTCTGAAGGGACAGACAAGTCAGTTTTCATTTATTATCAGATAAGAAGTTGATCACAGTGCTTGCATGATTGATGCAAATTGGGGTTTACTGTTATCGCAGAGAAAAAGGGTTAGGTGCCGGTCTGACTGTACGGATGTCTCAGTCCATGCCAAAGCAGAGTATCGGACAGTACAAGTAATGCCTGAGCTTGTCAAAGGAACCCGCTGGATTTCAGTGGGAGTGGGGTGCCCGATTCTCATAGGCTCCTTTGAAAATCCCAGTGAATGTATTTTTGTTCCTGAATTAGCATTTTTCCTGTCCCATCTTGCAATCCGGCTGGATACCTCAATTTTCAGCCCTTTGGAAATCCTTTACCACTCTGTTCCTCATCCTTCCTTTTCAGATGAAGGATCCAGCCAATGTACAGAGCGTCCCCCTTGTACGAACAAAGACTTTTTCCAGATCCATACACTGTGTGATAAGGAAGGAAAGGTAAGTCAAATGTTCACTCAGATTCATATTATTCGCCAGTTCATTGAGCCATTTGTGATCTAGTGGCCTGAACACAGGACAGGGAGCCCTGAATTTCTGAATTCTTTTCCTGCTTCCAGCACTGACTCTCTTAGTGGCCTCGGGCAAGTCCCTTAACCACCCTCTCTTATCAGTTTATCCATCTGTAAATGTCCATTGCTCTTAGGTTTTTCTAAGACATCTATCATCGTGGTATGGAAGAGCCTAATCTTGTAAACACTTGCATGTGTGATCAGTCTGACTGGGTCATTGGGATGACTCATGAGCATAGGTGTTTGCAAAATCAGGGCCTTGATAGAAATAACAACATATACGTGCCTCATAGGAGCATCTTGAGGATTCATTGACTAGAGCTAGATAGTTTAAGCCAGGGGCAACCAGATCTACTGGGTCTATTAGAAGGTGAGCTGCATTAGGAATGTGCCAGTTTTGTGGCTTTATTCTCATTCCCCTCTCCCCTAGTCTCATGGGAACGCCTTTGCCAAAGCTCTGTGGGATTGTAGGTTGGATTTAGAGGTTGAAGCAGCTGCTCATTGCAGCATTTTCCCCTGCAGCTCTTGCAGAAACTTGTCTGATCTGAGAGTTGATCCTTCAGAACTACTTTGCCCAAACCCTAGATCCTCTGACCCCAAGAGGCCCTTCCACCTCCCTTAGATCCAGGGGAGGAGGTAGCAAGTGACCTGCCTCAGCAAGTCGTCAAAATCCACTTAATCGATGCTCAACTGGAGCAACACCTGCTAACAAGATGGAGCCTTTCAGTTTAAGGTTGGCAGTCGATTATACCCCTCTTTGTACCTGCACCTGCTTTAATAAAAATCACTTTCAGAACATGGCAGCATGTGTAACCTTGACTTATCACACACACACTTCAAGCCACATAGTACTTGTACTCTGCAACCTCTTTCTGATGATGATGATGATGATGATGATGGGCGATCACTCGTTACCGAGTATGATCATCTTCCATGGGCGTTATGGGTCCTCAGGTGGCTAATAAGGCCAATCCTTGAGCCACAAGCTCTATTACAATGAGGGCAGATGTTTTTAGGCTCAGCAGGAGGCTTCTGACCATGACTGGAAGCCAGTCTCTCCTTCCTCCTGCACCTCTTGTCCTCTTCAGCTTGTTGGCAAGCAAGTTCAAAATGCAGGGGACCATCACATAGGACTTCACTCCATTTTAAGCGATCCTGGGCAAGTGTCTCCCAAGTGTCAATGTCAATATTACACTTTTTTAGGTTATCCTCCAAGTCCTTATAACACTTCCGTTGTCCACACACGTTACGGTACCCTTCTTTCAGCTGAGAGAACAGGACCTGTTTGGGGAGGCGATGGTCTGGCATCCGGACAATGTGACCAGTCCAGTGGAATTGCTGATGGGTGATCATTACTTCGATACTGGGGGGCTTTGCCTATTCCTGTCTTCCCGTTTGATCTTCAGAATCTTACAAAGGCAGCATTGATAGTGCCTCTCAAGGAGTTTCAAGTGGTGTCTATAGGTTGTCCAAGTTTTGGACCCATGCAACAGTGTTGGGAGAATAACGGCTTGATAAACAAGAAGCTTGGTGTCTGTTCGAATGTCATGATCTTCAAAAACCCTGTGCCATAAACGAGAATAAGCTACACGGGCACAGCTCAGGCGATGTTGAATTTCTGCATCGATATCTGCCTTGGATGAAAGATGACATCCAAGGTAGAGGAAATGATTGACATTCTCCAGTGCCACTCCATTGATTTTGATAGCTGGAGCATGTAATATCTCATTTGGAGAGGGCTGATAGAGCACTTTAGTCTTCTTGATATTAAGAGTGAAACCAAGACACGCGTAAGTATCGGCAAACACATTCAAGATAGTTTGAAGATGTTTCTCAGAGTGGGCAAAGATTCCGTCGTCATCAGCATACTGAAGTTCCACAGTAGATGTTGTGGAAATCTTACTTTTGGCTTTCAGCCTGCTAAGCCTGAACAGCTTTTCATCCATTCTGTAAATGATTTCAACGCCAGCTGTAAATTTCCCAGCAGTTAGATAAAGAATGACGGCGATAAAAACCGCAAACATGGTTGGAGCGATGATACAGCCCTGTTTGATTCCTGTTTGTACTTTGAAAGGTTCAATCTGGGAGCCAGTGCTGCTCAGAACAGGTACACAATGTCACCAAGCAGATGAAGAACAACAAGGCAGCAGGTCTAGATGGGATCCCTGCTGAAATCTTTAAAGATGGTGGACCAGAGCCAATTCGGCAGTTTTACATGCTTATCCTTAAAATCTGGATAAAGGAGGAGACGCCCAGTGAAATGAGGGATGCCCTGATTGTCACCCTCTTCAAGAAAGGGGATAAAGTGGATTGTGAAAATTATCGTGATATCTCCCTCCTTGCCATTGCAGGCAAAGTTCTGGCGTGGATCTTTGCAACCCGCCTTCTGCCCCATCAGAAGAAATTTTACCGGAGTCACAAAGTGGTTTCCGACCATGTCATGGAACTGCGGATATGATCTTCACAGCACGGCAGCTGCAAGAAAAGTGTTGGGAGCAAAACCGACCACTGTACGTGGCTATTATTGATCTAACTAAAGCCTTTGATTCAGTGAATCGCCGTGCCCTCTGGACTGTACTCTCTAAGATTGGATCTCCTAAAATTGCTTCATGATAATATGAAAGCGACTGTTCTGAAGAGCACTGGCTCCCAGAGTGAACCTTTCATTCAAAAGTAACCTCTTTCTAATGACTTAGTAAATTAATAGCATTTACCCCTACACTCAAGGTAGCAGGCTGTAATTGTAGTCTCCTACAGATTGCACTGTAATTGATCTGTGAAATTCAAGTCCCTCCTCAAGGCTCACTTGCTTTGATCAGCCTCCCAACGCCGACCTCCGAGTCCACCACTCCTGCCTTCTTGATAACCTTTCCCTCAAACTACTATCAAATGAACTCATCACAATTACATTTCAGGAAATAGAGCAGTATAAAAAAGTCATTGTCTGTATGAAATTTTGGTTTGTACTGACTTCGCTAGTGCTTTTTATGTAGCCTGTTGTAAAACTTGGCAAATATCTAGATGAGTTGATATACCCCCTGGAAGACCTCTGCTTACCCCTAGTTGAGAACCACTGTCCTAAGGGAATGCTCCAAAGCCTGTTGAAGTTAATGGAAGTCTTCCCATGAGCTTGAGGTTTTCAAAGGGGCCTAAAGGATTTAGCCACCCAATTCCCTTTGGGTTTCATTGACTTTCTCCTTTGAAAATCCCAACCTGATTGGCTAAGTTCGTATGCACATTGAGTTCAATGGGATTACTTGTGGGTGTAATGTTTACTCAATTGACTGGAGTCTTTATACAAGAGCTATTAGTAGTAGTAGTATTTTATTTTAAATGACATGCATACCTGCTCCAGAAATAACAATATGCTGGCATGTCAACTGCACTGCAGCTTAGAACACAAAAAGGGCTGCATATTTACCTTGGATTTCCCCTATTACTATGTGGCAGTTATCTTCTATCGTGACAGTCCTCTCCAGAGAGGTAAAGAGAGACGTACATGAAATCGGTGCCTATAATTTAAAATGCTGCCAAATTGAGGCCTGTGTATATTTTTCCACTTTGGAACCTATCTACTTTTCTTCTCTTGAGCTATTGAATCTTTTTGGGCCTAATCCAATGCCTAATGCATTAGTTTTCAAACTGTGGTGCATGCCTCCCTCCTCCTCCCCCTCCCCCAGGGTTAAATTCAGGAGTCTTAAGAGGGGATCTGGATTGAGTAATGTGGCTTATGTAAATGAAATGAGAGATTTGGTAGATAAGTGGGTGAGGGGGAAAGGCATTATAAGCTTTGAAGGAATGTGTGGTTTGGTTACTCGGGAACAATTCCTGAATATGTGCAATGATGATGTAAAACCGTATTTGTGGGACAAAAAGGTGAATGCAGTGGGTGAATTAGCTGTGTTTACAGACTCCTATGCGCATAGGTGACCAGACAGCAAGTGTGAAAAATCAGGACAGGGGGTGGGGGGTAATAGGAGCCTATATAAGAAAAAGACCCAAAAATCGGGACTGTCCCTACAAAATCAGGACATCTGGTCACCCTATAGAGCAAGGACAAACTGCAATTAAACAAACCACTGGCAGAGGGGTACAGGGTTGGGGGAAAGCAAAATCACCGTTTTACCCCTGGGAAAAAGGAGGCTGGGCGTTTGCCTCCCCATTCCCCTATTACTCGTCACAAATCTCCTGTACAAGCAGAGGAGCCCAAAAGGTGCTATCATTGGGGAATAACTGTCCTTGGCTAAGAGGGAACAGGCAGCAGGTAACACATGAAGCTGCTGCTTCTCAGAGCCCGGCTGCTGCCTCTTTCCACACAGGATTTGTAAAGGTTGCTTCTACCCAACCAAGCAGTGAGCATATGCATGCTGTTAATCTTAATGGTAAATTACGCGTTGGATTGAGAGATACGGGGGCTGAGGTTTCTGTGGTCAGGAGGGACCTGATCCAGAACAAGGATTTGTTGCCAGGGAAAATGGCAGAATTAGAACTGGTGGGAGGTTACAAAGTCCTTGCACCCTTAGCTAAGGGTAAAGCTTCACAAGGGAGTGGGGTCCAGCCCAGAGAAATTCCAGAGGGAGGGGCCGAGGGCAAGCATGGTTGCAGTACACCCTTGCCAAAGCCTCAAACACATGCCTGAATTAAAAGCCTTCTACAAAGAGGCAGAAGAATCTGCATCAGGGCACCTACCATGGTTCACAAAGGAAGTGAAAAAGGTAATGGACACTAAACAAGACAAATTGTGTGAACAGAGTGTAACGGGTTGGATCACAGAAACCCCCTTGGGACTGCCAACTGATGTGCCAAGACTACTTCTTCCCCTGCTTTCCCTGCCAGCCTGGGACTCCAGCACCGTGTCTTGTTGAGCCACACATGCCAGTCTGCTCCAACGCAGACCCAGGGTCTGAACCACGTGCCCCAAAGCTGCAG